TAGTGCGAGGGGATGGCTGGGGACAGCCTTCTGCTCCCCGTGTAAAGCCCGCGGGCTCACCCACATGCAAAAGCTAATGAGCATAATGATGCAGATTAAAAATCCTTAAGAGTATCCCAAAGGAAATTATGCTGGGATAACTATGGTCAGAGAATCCACCTGGCAAATTCGCCACTGCCCACATACCTTGGTTGGGCACATCCCCAAGCTCAGGGGCTGACTTCTTTTCCATTAGGCATAAGCAGCTAATTCCAGCTATGACCGCAGTTGTTTCATTGAGGGGGTGAATGTGCACGAGAGATATTCCACAACCTATTTTGGGCTAACAATAAATGCTGGGTGCCTGGCTACGTCACTCCCTGTCTTAAACAGTCTAGGAGGAAAGTGGTTCTGTGAGTCAGGTGTTTGTCAGTGTTACCCGCACACAGAAGGTGGCAGCCTGTGTGTTCAAACCAGAGGGACCAATAACAGCCACATGTCACCAGTGACAGGCAGAGCAGAGTGTGCCACTGAGGGCGGCCCAGGACAAGTCAAGGCTGCACTTCTGGCATTTCCTCACCTCTCTGGGGTGCATTAAGAAAAGTGTGTCCAGCAGCTCTAGGGAGGTTCTCCTCCCCCTCTACTCTGCCCTGGTGAGACCACACCTGGAATACTGTGTCCAGTTTTGGGCTCCCCAATTCAAGAGAGACAGGGACCTACTAAAGAGAGTCCAGCGGAGAGATGCGAGGATGATTAAAGGACTGGAACATTTCTCCTACAAAGAGAGACTGAGAGAACTGGGGCTGTTTGGCCTTGAAAGGAGCTGGCTGAGAGGGGATTTTATTAACATATACAAATATCTGAGGGGCAGGTGTTAAGAGGAAGAGGACAAGCTCTTTTCAGTGGTGCCCAGTAATAGAACAAAAAATAACTACATAGGAAGTTCCACCTCAACATGAGGAGAAACTTCCTTGCTGTGAGGGTGACAGAGCACTGGAACAGGCTGCCCAGAGAGGTTGTGGAGTCTCCTTCTCTGGAGACTTTCAAAACTCACCTGGACGTGTTCCAGTGTGGCTGCCCTAGGGGATCCTGCTCTGGCAGGGGGGTTGGACTAGATCATCTCTAGAGGTCCCCTTCCAACCCTTAACATTCTATGATCCTCTAGAGAGCAGCCTCCCTACTTCTTCACTCTGCTTCCTTCTTCTGCAGAGTAAGAGATCCTGAGGAAGGGAGCACAAACCTTGCTTGTCTGGGCTCAGATCCCGAGTGTCCTCTGATGGTGTGATGTGGTTTGTGACACCCCCTTCTGTTAGGTTTCATCATGCAGCACAGGTCAGGGTGAGGGCAAGGATGAAGGAAGTGGTGAAGAACTGCCCTGCATCTCCCCATATTCTGCTCCTCAGCATGGATTCAGGGCACCCACAGGGTTCCAGGAGGACCCTTGTTTCTTTGTATTGCCATTGTTTTGCAATGTCCAAGTTCTGCATCATTTACAGACAGCACTTTTGCCCCGCCTAGAGAAGAAGCGGAAATGGAGATGACAATCTCTGTAAGCAATGCTCAGGAGGAGCCATAGGTAGCAGGTATGGAAACAGAGAGGACAATAAGAGAACTGTGGAGCTGTAGACTTTTCCAGGCTCAAAGCCTGGATTCCTACATCTCCTTGAACTTCAAGATTTGTGGAAAGTTCTACACCAGAAGGTATGGAGAAGACAAATACCAAATCAAGATACTTGTCCTGAGCTCTTCCACCAATACAAAGCCCATAAGGCGGTGATACCTTCACTCTTCTCTCCTTCCCTCTCAGTATAATTTCTTCCTGTGCAAAGAGCAGTCCTGAGCAGGAGCTCCCAATTATGGCACAGCCTCCTGCTTGGCAGAAGCCCCTTCAGAAATCCACATTTGTCAGGGCCTCCGGTGGGAACATATCCCCTGTATGCACCGGGCTCTTAATTAACCCAGACTTAGCAGATGAACAAACAAACCGAATGTTGTCCCTTCATCTGTACCGAGCCATTCCTAATAACTAGCTCCAACGTGGCAGCATCACTTGCCTTTTAATCTCTTTTAGAGATGGATAATGCAGAAATCTCCCTCTTCCAACACTGGCTTAGAGCACTGAGCTAGAGAAATCAGATTTATCTCCTTGGCAAGAAACACTATAGAAGAGATTCACATTAAGAGCATACTTCCAAGAATTCTTTTTAATCTAGGATCCCCACATGAAGATGCTCACAGGAGCAAGGAGAGTACCACCAAACCACAGCCAGCTCCTACCATTCCACTTTTGAGGTGCACCAGGAAAGTTCTCGTGCAGGTACACCCTGGATGGAAACACGAGCTGGTCCTGGCACTGGGGATGGGAGACAGCACCTTCCTACTCAGTGGAAGCAGCTTGTGCCCCACCATTGTGAGCAATACCCAGCTTGCTCTCCTTGCATTAGATTTCATGCTGATGGATGGCATTAAATGGGCCACAGAAGCAGAGGCAGCTGGCGAGGAGGCTGTGGGGAACCCACATCACTTCAGTCAATGCAACATATACCCATAGAAACAAACTTTTTCTGACTGCACCCAGGAAGAGCGATTGCCTCTCCTGCAAATGCTCTCCGTGACTCACTTTGGAAGAAGACAGGTGCAAAGAGGGTTTTACCAGGATCAGCAGGGAGAGGTTTCCAAATTATTATGCTGCCACAGGAACGAGGTACCAGCACCAGGTTCACGGGCGAGGAGTGTCTCCCAGGGCTGGTCTCCATTAAAGCACCTGCTTTTGGGTGCAGCCGAGTCCTATCTCTGTGAGGGCTCAGATTCTTTTCAGCCTCCCTTAGTATCTCTCTTTTCCATTTAGCTTTTATGGGTCATATTTTTCCAGACCAAATCCACCTGACTTGAGGAACCCTTCTATTTCTCACCCAGCTGTGTTCCAGGTTACCATTTTCTTGCCTTCCTGCTTTTTAAGGGGTCATACAAGACACCTTTCATGTGAGGATTTTTCTGGACTTTGAAGGTTTTTAAGCTGACTTCTGCTTCAAAAACACAACCAGAAATTCATTTTTAATCTGAACCTCAGTGGAGTGATGCTAGGATTTTTTAAAGGTTCTTCTCCCAGATGCAACAGTTTGGCAACCATTTGTAGTATTTTCTAGTTTAGCTGAGTATTTCCCCCTGTAAAAGAACAGCACTCCTTCCTGCTGCAAGCCTGATTTTCAGTTGGAACTGCTTCACCTTGCTTCTAGGTCAGAGGAAGGAAGAGCTGAATATCAGAGATTGGGGTTTTTTTCCACCAGAATAATTTTCTTCTGTGATGACTTGTCTTGGATCCCAGCAGAATTAAATGTGAGCAGCTTTCCTGTCCATAGTTGTCCACTATAGATTGCCCAAATGCTCAAATGTGACATTTTCTTTTGATAATGAGAGATATTTATATTTGCATTCTTTCCCTGTTTGCAGAGTACCTACAGCCCCAGGAGGGACTGTAGCACAGGGAAGTACCTGTCTGCCCACCTCTAGCCACAGCAGCCCAAAGCTCAGCATTAAGTCCTGGACTTAAAGCCTATGAGGAGGCTGAGCTATACTTTTCAGTTAGATGCCAGTGTGAACACTTCAGAGTTTCAAGATATTCACTTAATGGTCAACATTAATGGTCAACATAATGGTCTCCTCTCTGGGAGAGGGATCTCCAAGTGAGGAGGACGACAGGGGAGGAAAGACAAGGACATGCTGGAGTACTTCATGATAAGGTCTACGAGAGGCCTTTTCCTGCTTTTTAGAAATAAAAATGCATGCTTCTAAGTCAGAAGGTAGAGGACTAAGAAGGGAGGAAGGATAAAAATGTATGCCCCTCAGGTTCAGTTAATTTAAGAGCCTCAACTTGCTATCACTGGCAGTTTGCCTTTTCCCATCACATGTCCACAAAACCACTGTTGGATCTTTTGCTGTGTCATAAGCAGCAGTTTCCATTCAGTTTTTCTAAAAGGCACCTCAGGCAGCAAGTTTTAAGCAGAATAGAAAAAGCGTTGGCCTGGGTAAATTCTGCCACTATCAACCTTCATAACCGGAACAAATGAAAAACAGAGATTGGAAGTTTGGAAAATACAAATCATTTAGAAGATGACATCCATTACAACAATTAAATGAAGGCAAGCCATACTGCATCAAGGGGATGCTATTTTTGGTGCAGAGTGGATGCCTGATTGGAAGGGCAAGGGAGGGAGACAGGAACACTCCTGTGGGTGCAGCTGGAGCTGCCAGTGGCCGCAGCAGAGGGGGAGTTCACTGAGCATGCACTGGTTGCCCCAAGGACTGTCTCTCCAGATTCATCCAAGCCCCGAGCTAACTTGGGGGATCTCTCCCATCTTTGTTTCTCACACAGATACCGAGAAGTCCCAGCAAAACCAGACGGACGATTCTAACCCTGAAGACGGCTCGCTCAAGAAGAAGCAGCGGAGGCAGAGGACGCACTTCACCAGCCAGCAGCTCCAGGAGCTGGAAGCCACTTTTCAAAGAAACCGTTACCCAGACATGAGCACCAGGGAGGAGATTGCAGTCTGGACCAACCTGACAGAGGCACGAGTGCGGGTAGGACTGCACCGCTCCCACCTTCCCAGGCCTGAGCTTGTGGGGAGGAAGCTGGCTGCAAACAAGCCACCAAGCTGTATGCAATCAGAGCAAGAAATTAGGGTCACTAGAAAAATTTCCCTGTCTTGAAAACACCTCATCAGGCTCTACACCCGAGATTTGACACTTCCAGCCACACACATAGCACATATTGGTGGTGCCTTCCCCATCCAGTGCCACCTTGCAGTAACAGGGAGATGCAGTCAGGGCTCTACCCCACAGAGCCTCACTAGCTGGCTGCCCTGACCTGGCAGACCCCTTGCTTGCAGTGCCATCATGCCCCAGCCTTAGCCTTGCTGGAGGGCGCTCTTTAGGGTTCCCAAAATGCTGTGCAGTCACAGGCATAGCATGACAGGGCTCCAGCTGGAATGAGAGCTTCTCTCTGCTACTAGAAATATGAGTTAGCAGCACCACAAATAGCCTTCCAGCAGCTTCCAACTCTAGGAAGTTATATTGTTTGAGTGTCTCCAACACTAACTGATTTTCCTGTTAGAAGACAGACCTCTAGCACTCCATCCCAAGCTGGTCCTGAGGTGCAGTCAAAACAAGAAGTGTTATTTCCTCCACTCAGCAGCTTTCAAGCCACATCCCTCAAATACTTTGATCCCAATTCACCAACCCCAACACCTCCTTCTGGGCTGTGCTCACTTGGAAATATAGCAGGTATTTTCCTCCATTTTCCCTGTATAAAGGCCATCCATTTGTCAAGGGAAGTAGGTTATTCGATGCATTGTAAAATGGCAGTAATTGGGTTCTGATCTAGGTGGCAATTCTTGCTGGGAGATGAGCTGGCATCCCAGACATCTTGCTGCAACCCTTTCCTGATGTTCAGCCTTGCAGGTCCCTTGGAGCATCCCCAGCTGGGGAAAGAGACCAGGACAAGGCATCTTCCAGGGTCAGCCCAGAGTGATTCCCATCCCTTCCCTCCTCTTTGTTTCAACAGGTCTGGTTCAAAAACCGCAGAGCTAAGTGGAGGAAACGGGAGAGGAACCAACAGGCCGAACTGTGCAAGAACAGCTTTGGAGCCCAGTTCAACGGACTGATGCAGCCTTATGATGACATGTATTCCAGCTATTCCTACAACAACTGGGCCACCAAGGGGCTTGCCACCAGCCCGCTCTCAGCCAAAAGCTTCCCGTTCTTCAACTCTATGAATGTCAGTCCCCTCTCCTCTCAGCCCATGTTCTCCCCACCCAGCTCCATCGCCTCGATGACCATGCCTTCATCCATGGTCCCTTCTGCAGTGACCGGAGTACCAGCCTCCAGCCTCAACAACCTGGGAAACATCAACAACCTGAATAGCCCGAGCCTCAACTCCGCTGTCTCATCCAGTGCCTGTCCTTATGCCTCCACAGCCAGCCCCTACATGTACAGGGACACATGCAACTCCAGCCTGGCCAGCCTGCGGCTGAAGGCCAAGCAGCACGCTAACTTCACCTACCCGGCAGTGCAGACAGCAGCTTCCAACCTGAGCCCTTGCCAATACGCCGTGGACAGGCCCGTATGAAGGGCTGCCCTCCGCCAACCAGAGACTTGACCTTAGCCTGACAAAAGGAGACCTTTAGCCCTACAAGAGCGTACATCCTGCAGAGAATGAGAGTGAACATGAGAGAGCAATAGAGCGAGAAAGCGCGAGAGCAAGAGGCGAGCAGGCAGACGGACCTCTATGAAGATTTGTCTAACTATCGTATGGTGAATTTTGACTGTCTTTCCCCTCCCAAACTCAATCCCCTCTTGCCCACCAAACCACCTTCTTCATGGTAAAGAAACCAAAACAGTCTACTGGAAGCCCCATGGGGAAAAAAGAAGCCCCAATGTGTGGGGTGCCTGACCCATGGGCAGCAGAACCAAGTGTTTTTCAATCTTCTCTCTGAGCCCTGCAGGGGTGAGCTCCCCAAATCCCTCAGACAGCACAGGCAGACAGATACCACTCCTGCAGGGAACAGCCAGGGACAGGGCAATGCAGGGGCTGCCATGTGGTGCTTGACTGACCCCTTCTCCCTGCACACATGCAAGGTTTTGGTTAAAGACACCTTGCCCACTTATTTATCCCCCAGCCTTGAATCAGTCAATTGGCATCTCTCTTTATAATGCATATATATGCATGGCCCTTCAGACTTGAAGTCTTTAGGAACTGGGAATTGTAATGATATTAAATATGTGTGTGTATATATATATGTATTATATAAATATATACACGCATGCAAATACGTAAGTAGACACTAAAATTTTTTTTTGTTTTGTACATGAAATAACCTATAAAGTAGACCTTACTGCCAAATACCCCATAAAGCAAGCACATCTACTACGGCAGCATCTTTCCTGTCATGCTTTAGTGCTTAAGTTCTGACTTTCCAGTCAGAGAGGAACACCTTTGCCAGTGTACATCCAAAGCATCTCCTTTTGCAACAATCAGCTCCCCCTTGCACATCTCCTCCCCTTCCCTTCTCCAAATCCCATTTCCAAAAACAATAACAAAATAAAAGTTGGCACAATCCCATAGAGGCTTCTGCCTGTCTGGTTATTGAGAACACAAACCTGTATCTGAAGACTCAGAAATCAAGCTCCAGCAGCCCAGGCGAGAGCAAGCATCCTTGGCAGCACCAGGACAAGGCAGCCCAAGTCAGAACAAGGACCTGAGGTCTGGAGGAGCCATCCCTGTTGTTCCCTTAAAAAAATCAAACACCTGGCTCCTCAGGACAGCAAAAGCCCATGGACCCAGCATGGCAGGGAAAGCAATTCCCCTCCCTGCTCCGCCTGCATGCACCCTCTGCAGCAGGAAGGTCGAGCCTCTCCGGGCTCAGGCTTCCTCCCGTGCTGGATGGGGCCAGTGCCTTTGGGCTCCCAGCAGCCCAGGGCCGGAGAGCCCCCTCCAGGCACTCCTGCTCCATACAGTGGTCCCCAGGGGAGAGACCTGCTGCAGCAACCTGCCCTACTAGCCTGTCCCTGCACAGTTTCTGCTGGGAAAGCTGTAAAGTGGAGGTGGGTCTCCCGACATATATGTGCACCAGGGGTATGTGCTGCTTCAGCCAGTGCAGGTTCCTCCAAGGCCCCAAGGAAGCTCCACATGCAGCAGGACATCCTTACCCGCTGAAGCTCGCTTTCACTTCATCAGGAACCGTCTCCGAGGGGGAAAACACCACCTGGATATTTTACTTTTCTCTCAGGGAAAAAAACCAAACACATCACCACAGCAAACTACCTTACTTGGATTAATAGGACAGGCAAACCTGGCATAAAGCAGGTTTCTGCAATATTGTTTCCTCTCTGCATACTAACAAGTTCTTTGCTATGAGGAGATCCTCATTAGGCCACTGTTAGAGTCCCTCACAAACAAAGCTTGTGAGCCACTTGGTCTTTGCAAAAGCCTGTTCTACAGGGAACAACTGCTTCTGAAGGTATTGATGAGCAGGTGCTGAAAAGAGTCCCACAGTTCAGCCCAACTTCACTGTAACAAAATTTTTCTTTGCTCTGAGCTAATCTAAAATGAGAATGCCAAGCTACCCTGCACTGAAACAGCTACTGCTGAAAGCACAACCCTGTCTGCGACATGCATTCAGAGATCAAGCATAAACATCTAAACCACAGACATAGCTCATCCAAGACACAACCGTTTGTTGCAACCTGGATCCTACCTTGTCACTGGGTGCCAGTGCTGCTGAGATTGCTTCAGTGGTTTGTCCCTGTTCCATGCTGGAGCCTCTGACTAGCAATCTCACCACCACACATGTACCTGCCTTGGTGCTATTGTGCTCAACCCTCTTCTCTGCTGTGGCTCTTTCTCCTAAGAGGAAAAAAAGAGGCCTGGGCTTCCCTCTAATATCCTCTCCTCCACTGAGCTTGACTCGCAGCTGAGTCCAGCTCCTCCCCCTGATAGCTCAAGCCAGGTGTGCCACAATCCTCTCCTACTCCTTGCTGAAGGAGCTGAGGCCTTTGCACACCTGGTCCTTCCCCTACAACCTTTCCAAGTGCCCCATCCCTCCACTCCCTACTGATCTCAAGTACGGGTGGGAGCATGGCAAAGCCAGAACAAGCGTCTGTCGTAAAGATGCTCCTTTGCCTAGAAGAGAAGTTAAAGGGAGACTCAGCTTCTCTTTCACTTGGGATGTGTCTATGGAGAGAAAGAAAATTCTCCCTTCTCCTGAGCCGAGGTGTCTTGGTTTAGAAGACAGGGGAAAA